CTATGCCCAAAAACAAAAACCAGAGCTTTATTCTATAAGCAAAACTTTTTACCCATCGAATCACAGCAAATGAGCAAAACTTTTTACCTTAAAGGGAGGAGTTCGTTGATTCGCTGGTTCGCCTAAGTTCGCTGGATTCGCCAGTCAAAGAACCCTGGTCGTTGATCGCAATCGAAGATCCCTCCTTGATCGCTGATCTCAATGGCTGATGCCGCTGATCGCAGTCGAAGTCGCCTGAGGCCCTAATGTCGTTGGAGCCTGGTGGTGGTGGTGGTGCCACCGCCTTCTGTTCTGCGATTTAGGGCAAAAAAAAGCCCCAAATCTTGTACAAATTCTAATTAATTTGTTGATGTAATTTAATTTTTAAATGGGTATTAAACCGTCTGGTTTTTATAAAAACTATCCAGATTTTGGTTTTAGCCGGTTCTTTGCCTTAAGCAGTCCAATTAGGAAATCGAACCGATCAAACTCCTAGTTCAAGGTTGAACCGGTCTAATCGATCAGTTTGATCCGTTTCTAATAACATTGGTTAAGAGTTTTTGAAAGAAGACTAATTAGAGTTATAATCGGACCGTAAAATATTTTGGGATATAATTATCTTATTGTAAGTATTATTAAAAAAATTTTATTGATCGCTATCAGCTTTCAGAATTAAGTAATAGATCTCTTATTTAATATTGTCATTTATTTTTAAGTAGTACTTAACATATTAAGAGAACTTAAATTTTAGTTATCAAATAAATTTAATTAATAAATATCGAATACATTAATTTTAAATATTACATTTAAGTTAACAAACACACCCTAAGTTTTAAGTTTGACCTCCTCCCTAAGTTCAAGCATCATGTACGAAGGGCAGCCCACAAAGTACTGAATAGGAGAGTATCAACCGGTATTTCAAAGCACGGTGTGGAAGTGGAACCAACATTTCTAGATATCTTGAATCATTGACCAAACAAAAATATCTTATTATATATCTTGGTCTCCAAAGGATGCTACCTTTTTACAAGGTCTTTCGTTTCAAATTTGCTTTTACAATTAATTGAATCTCCTTGGTCCTGTTGAATTATATTGTCCATTTACCAAACCCATATCGTTCTGAATGGCATTACAAAAAAGATTGATCAGCTAAAGGATTACATATATATTTTTTTTTTTTGCATTTTTTTTTTGGGTTGTGGGGGGTTTTGTGTGTGTGTGTTGGGGGGTGGGGAGCTGAAGGATTTCATAAACAAAGGCCAAGGCTCAACAAAGACTGTTCCAACAACAAAGTCCACAGTGGTCACCTTGTGGCCTTTTTTTTTTTTTTTTTTTTGGTTCAGGGTGTTCGAGTTAGTTTATGCATATTTCGATTAATTTTTTTTTCGATCCAGTTAAAGGTAGATCATCCATATCGGAACTAGAATATTCATAAGTGATAAATTCTTTATGATCTGACTCTAAGGAACTATGAAAATTCAAATTCAGGACATTTGAATTTATAATTTATCTTTATTACCATTTAAACTTGGATCATTTGTTTTGCAGGAATCTATTCCCAAGTAAACGAGGAAAACACCATATCAGAATTTTGTAATGTTTTACCGTGATTTCAAACTTGTTCTTTAGAGTATTATAATTTCTAGTTTATTTTTCAATCTATCATTGTTTGTATTAGACCGGGCCCCACACTTTCATTATAAAAACGTGTTACAAAACAAACTTCACTGTATAAATATATTTATAAAATACACTTTAATATTGAAAAGGATAGGATGAAACCACAATTTAATATAAACTCTGGTAAATTGAAAGAAGTCAAACGAAAAAAAAAATCCATTTTATAGGAATTCACTTTTATAATCGGAATAATGCTCAACCCAAGTGAAAAGGGTCCCTTTCTATGCGTGTGTTGAGCTTTGCCGTGTGAATTGTTATGTGTGTTTCTTCTGTGCATGTTCTGTCCAAAAAAAAATATGTTCCAATCCGACATCAGTTGCTCTTCACCAGTTCTGTGAGTATAAGTGGCTCACTGCCAATTCTTCTTTTAAGAAGAATTGGTTTGTGGGTCCCTTTCTATGTGTGTGTTGAGCTTTGCCCTGTGGATTGTTGTGTGTGTTTCTTCTGTACATGTTGTGTCAAAAAAAAAAAAAAAAGTGAAAAGAGTCTACCGGAAGACCAGTGCTAGAAAGCACGCAAAGAAATATCCATCTTTTCCAGAGAAAGATTATGTTTAGTTCATACCCTCGATCAACTCTCTGATAAAAAAGCTAGAAGACAACTCATGACAACAACAATAGGTGTAAACTAATGTGTGCCTTTTAAATTTACTCGTTTCCCCCCGTGTGGCATCCCACTTCCAAAGAGGAAATAACTACCAAGTCGTGCATTTCTTCATAAAGTCGAGAAGTCTCCCCTGACTTTCTTTCCTGGTTCCCTTTCTTTGTTGCCTATGGAGTGAGTTCGTTGATGGCAGGAAGTGAAACCACTTATTTCTGCTCGCTGCACAGCATATAATTCACCAATATAATTCATCAAAGAACATCTCAACCAGTGGGATTTCAAGGGATGATAACTCATGGATGTTACAACTAAATCAAAAGGCCATCATATTACACATACACAAACAAAATGAAAAAAAAAAATTGCACTGATGGTACATAAGCCCACCAAAGATTTATTTGGCATAAAACCAATATACATTGCTGAAATACTCAAAAACAATCAGCAAATTCTTATGAGTCTTTCCTGAGCAGCAAGAATTGATGATGTATTTGTAATCCAATTAAAAGTTTCTTTAAATAGTACCGAAATAACCAAATCTAGAACTAATAAAGATCTTCTAGATTCTAATTTAGTATAAGAGTGTTACGCTTTCTCATAATCTTAATGACAAAAGGAGCGCTGAAGCACAGGCTGCTAATAAAAGGGCATACGAACCAGATTGTCCTTGAGCTTGGATTTCCTGAAACATGACAGAATGATGATGAGTATCATTGATAAGGAAACAATAATGAGAGAAAATAAATGTTCATCTTTATCTTTTATCTTTCCGAATATATTTCTTCCACAACCCAACTTGAGAAAGAGAGGGCCTTTTTATAGATCGGGAGGAGAGTTGGGGGGGGGGGGTTTGCTGGCTTGTGCAATCAACGAATAAAATCCTTCGCATTAATAAGCTAACTTTCTAAGCTCAGCAAGCCTAGTTCTCTGGGCACTACGGTTGAACGTGGATTGATCATGATGAGAATGGACTTCAAAAAGTCTCGCAAATCTGGTGAGGTTAGACTCGTTCAAAATGTGAAATTTTATAGGGCTGCCACACAATATTATGAAGAACTTCTTGGATAATTTAATAATCAATAAGATTCAGACACACCAACCCACGGATTATTCGGATTATTATCCCTCTTAGGAGTCTCCCCTTCACCCCCTTCTCTCTCTCTCCCCCCTTTATCAACCCATACAAACCCATCAGGCATTGATGGAGGAGGAGAGATATAATAACACTAGGAAGCACGTTTAACTTCACTAAATCGCTGATATTGAAACCCCCCAACCCCCAAAAAAAAAGGCCCACCCAAAAAAACCACTTCTTCCTCTAGGCTATAAATTGCATTTGGTGTGAGCAATGCTGGATTTAAAAATAATTATTTAATGACTAATATTTATAATATCTAACATTCAATATTAGAACACAAATAGGTTTTGGAAACACTTCCCCAAAAAGTTATCGTGGAAGTTCAGGATAAAATCAGCTAAACATAAAGGAGGATTTTGGTAAATGATCCCAAAAAAAATTGCCACTCATGCGAAAATAGAACCCTTCCATCCTTGAGAGAAATGACTGAAAATGTATACTCAATGCAACAAAGCTGTAATCCCAACAATTTGAGAAAATGACTGAATATGTATATTATTCTAAAATAAGGCCATTCAATCATAGCTTATTCCATGAAACAAAAGTTTGTCGGAAACATGTCAAGTTACTTAGGACAAATTGGTAGGTGAAATGGCAAAAAAGTTCAAAGGCGCACCAAAATGTAAAAATTCCAAAAATGTAAAAGTTCAGGCTCCATCCAAGCGAGAGGCATGTGTTGTAGCATGGTTATCACAATTCACTAAACCCCTAACAATTCAAGATTTGGGTACATCGATCCCAAACTGGTGGGTTTGCAATTCAGATCACTAAAATGGACGACCCCAAATCGTAATACCAACCCTAAATCAATTCGTTTTAAAACATGTAGCACAAATATAAAAATACGTATTAATTGACTACATGTATATAGATTTATAATTCTATATTGTTTTAAATAATAAAAAATCATGCATAACTATAAGATAAATGATAACTTACTTAGTGTTTATTAATGCTCTGTAATATATAATATTATATAATAGTGAAAACGATCTACATAAGAGTTTTAAAATGAGTTGCAACCCAAAATATCGTACCAGCTAAACCTACTACCATCGTATCGTGTACCTAAAAAAGTGTTGTACCGTATATCCGTACCCGTATAACGTACCAAAGCAACCCACGATTCATGTAACATTGTATTGTAGCCTAATATGTAAAAATTTCAAACTAAACTGCAATTACAACTACATGCAGTAAATTTAAAAGAACAAGCAAGAAACAACATATTTTCTAGAACCAAAGGCTCATTCACAAAAGTAAAAGCTAATTGAACCAAAAAGGAGATTTTTTCCCAGTAAACAGAGGTTTTCATTTCAATAGAGTAGGACCTAAAAACACAAAAACAAGAGGACAGAACAAATGGGAGAGACACAGAGATAGATGAAGAAAATGAATCATAAAAGCGATTTATACTTTGAGACAGATTACAGTTGATCTGTGAAGTTCACAAGTGGAGTTTAGGGTTAGAGTTAGATACTTATACTTGGAGGTCTAATCTGGTGTTATGCATTCAAATATTCTAACAAAGTCAAAGACCAATATATTAATGAAAAGGACGGTTCCATGCTCAAGGTTCCACACCTCATGCGCTTCAGGCTTAGTCCTGAGGACTGTACTTAGTATGCCTCGTCTCCTTTTCCATCACTTCCCCAATGACAAAATTTACAAGGCAAAGATTTATGTAAGGTATAAACAGTGAAGGTGATGCAAAGACCTAAAGTTGAAAACACAAGAAACTCAAGGTTGAACTTTCCCCAAAAGGAGGGTTTCACGTAAATTCCTGCATCTTAATATATTTGACTTCAGCCACAGATGATTCCACTAAGAGAACAAATATGGGGAGACATATTTATGTAAGATGCACCATCAATGATGGGGGAGTAACATAATTAGTTATCAAAACTACATATTATGTAAAACCAAGGAGCAGGTGTTGTAACTATTTATTGATTATCTTAGTTTCAGTCATGTAATGAATGTTAAATAAATAATTTATCATTCTACTTTTGGATTTAATTAGGTTATAGGAAGGACTTTGGATCCCAAAATGTTTACTTTACTGGGTAGGAAAGTTTCAGGTCATGGCTTCCCTGGTGAAAAACAGTAGTGGATCTTGAAGTGAACAATTCCAAATGAATTAGAATAAGCCCTTGCTCTCCTCCTCCTCCTCCATCTCCTCTGCCTCTTTCTCCCTCTCTATATGTATATACCCGCGCGCGCACCTGTACGTATGTATAAATATACACCACCACCACTACTAATAATATATTTTTCATTATTAACAAGTTGAAACTATTCTATCTGCATCGCAAAATTTAATGCCCATGTGGACTGTTCACAGCAACTTGTTCCACCAACAAAGGTCGTCAAAACAAGACACACACACGGGTTTAAGATTCTTACATTAAAGATGCAAACTTGAGTTGAATAACATGTTCACGGCATCAGTGAAATGTGAAATGAAAATACCTAATAATTGAGCTAATTTAGACTTAGGAAAATCAACCTCCACTTCCAGGGAAGGTAGGCAAGATTTACATCAGTTTAAGCATGTGTGAATATATCATGCAGTAGCATATCTATACAATAATATCTTCAGAAGAGGTGAACCATGGCAAAAGTACAGATTTCAGATTCTCAGAAAATACAGTATCAGTCAGTGCTAACATATTGTCTTCATTTTTCAACTTAATTAGAACAAGTTATCTGGGAATTCCGAACACCATAAGAGATGAGACAAAACAGTAACGTCAATGATCAGTCCTGCAACTGTAATGATCTCATAAGATCTCCCTCCCTCCCTCACTGCCCCTCTCTTGTCAATAAATCACAAATCATCAACTAACGGTGCCAAAATGTGTGGTATACAAAACACCCTCTCCCTTTACCACCACAACCCCCCCACAAAAAAAAAAAAAAGACCCTTCTTTCCCTTGTTTTGAATAAATCACAAAGCTTCAATGAGAGGCACCAAAATAATGGAGTTGCCCATGTACACGGGTGATACAAATATTCAAAACGCCATCCATCTATATTGGACCTATATAAAGAATCAATTGATAAGGGATAAGCTCTTCACCCTCATGATAGCAAGCTTTATTGCTTCACAAGCCCTTCTATACATCTTGCATCAGATATAATCCAAAATTCCAAATCAAGCATGTAAAGGGGCAGTCCCCCCAACCCTTCTAACTTCAAATCAAACTCCAACTCCCCCAAAGTTTAACCAATCTCGGCATCCTCCAAGACACTTGGAAAAAAGATAAAAGTATGCTCTGTAACTATCTAGCCACTTCACAGTGTATGATTACGTGGTCCACAGTCTCCCTAGTTCATTTCACGTAAACAGATAATATTTGGCTTGATTGCTAGTCTTTTTTATCCCAAAACTTCAGAACCACAAAATTTTGAAATTTCTCCTTTTTGCCTCCTTTTTGGTGACTTTGCAAAGTCGAAACTTTTTCATCCATTCAACTTATCAACCTCTAAGTTTTTATGAGATGTCCAAAGACTCCAAACATGTGGACTTGAAGAGCACACTAGTACACATATAAAAGGGAAATCCAAATCTACACAGCAATCATTTTGCATTTTCAAGAAACATATTTTCTCTCTTAATTGAGAAGCAATGAACAGCCAATGTGCAATGCAACAAGGTCTTAGCAACTGGGACATGATATAGTTCAGAGAGGAAATGCGCAACATACCTTCCAAGACAAAAGAGATGAAGCTGCAGATGAAGATTTCAGTCCAGAAAATCCAATATCGTATGAAATGCTCCCATCAGCTTTAAACAGTCCAAAATTCCTCTCAGAAGTTGGTCCAGGCTTCAAATTCTCATTAAACACTGCAAAAATGTATGCCTTCAGAACAGATTTTGGCCTAAACGGAGTCCCCTTCTTCTTGGCAAGCCTTTTTCGCAGATTATAATTGAATGTCCTCGCGTTGTCTACTGTGGCTGCAGCTTCATTTTGATCCCCACGAGAAGCCCAACCTGTCTCCGTAACTATAACTTCCATCTTTTTAAGTCCAGCATCTTCCAAAGCCGCATAAGCTGCATCAATCTGAGCATCAAGCATGTTATCATAATGAAGATCAGTTTTCTGATCATATATACCCTTGTTTTTCTGGAAAAGAGCATAATTTATGTCAATTGTATCATCCGTATTATACATGTAAGCCAAAAATGGGTATGCATTTAAACAGAAAGGGGACCCGATCTGTGAGAATAACTCTAATAGTGGCTTCATGTGCTGAACAACATTCTCTCCGAAAGTACACGAAGAAGGAGGGTAAGAATTAGCAAAAACAGCCTGTGAATGTGCAGTAGAAATCTGAACTACATCATCTATTTGAAGTGTTTTTGTGGCATTATAAATATTTTTCACTGCACCCAAAAGGGCTTCCGCAAGTTCAGAATCACTCCCTCCCAAAACTTCGTTCCCCACAGCAATACCAACAATGTGTGTATCAGGAAGAAATGCCTCCACATTATCTTTGACCCAAGTCAGGGCATGATCTGCATTAGAACTCATCTCTTTAACGTAACCATTGGGTAGTCCAACCACCAATTCAAGCCCAGTACCACTAAAAGCTTGGAGGACACTATGATCCGCATCATATATTCGAACATTCTTTATCTTGGCTGATCTTAGAAGCTTAACCACTTCATCAGGTGAAGGGATATTATCAGCAATTCTTCCATAATTAATCCCGTAAGTTCCAGTAAACGCTTGAACTGGCTGGGGTGCTGGGTAAAGAACAAAAATACCTCCATTAATTATTCTATGATTTTGCACTAAAGAAAAAAAACATAGTTTTGCCTACAGAAGATTTTAAAAATAGCTATACTAATACCAGTTTCTCTGTTGCATTCAACTAATACTAATATTGTGGAACTTACAACAAAATTGTAGTAACCTATGAAGCAAAGTATACTCAATCAATGAGAATCAAACATACAATTTGATTCAGTATTCAAACTAAAATTAATATTAAGTTTCTTCTTCATTTTTTGTTACAAGTAAATTCGTTCAAAAGAATCAAAGTACTTGAATACCTTTGAATACATTAAACAAACAGAGATCAGAAAACAAGTGCAGAAGACAAATTAAACTTGACATTAAATTTAGACATTCAACAGGTTTTTTGAATTAATCCTTAAAAAGAGAGACGGGGAACAGTATGAATAAGGAGGAGATACCTAAAACCCTCAAAACAAAAACAATTAACTAACTTGAAGCAGCATATACCTAACAATAATTTCAAATTAAAATTAGGAGGTAGATGCTAATCAGATATTAGATATATGCATATCATAAACACATACAATAGAACATATAGCAAGGGACAGAGCCTTGTTTGGTTTGGTGATACCCATGAATCCATACATATAGAAATTAAAGTAACTCAAAAGAGAAAGCCAAGGAAACCATAAACCCAATTGGAAGAAGAACAAAATCAAATCACGAATCACCCACTACAGAACATTGATGATCACTGATTCAAAAACCATCCAATTGCATAAATCACCATCAGCAACACATGCTGGTAGTAGTGAAAATTTTAAAATCTGAAGAATCAAATCAAATCATACAATTTCAAACACATAACAGAGTGAGATCAAGAACAGCGAAGTACCGTTTGGAATAAAGAAGACCAGCAGTAGAAGAAGAAGAAACCGCACAAAAATTCGCAAAAATGTCATTACTTCCGATTGAATACGACGCCGTTGCCCCCAAATTTCTTGTATAAAGCCTTGCTCTTTCTCAGGCATGCCATAAACCACTATTAAAATTCTCTCTCTCCAAAAGTACCCACTTTTCTCCTCTACATATTCTCTTATCTTTCTTCGACCCTTTTTCTACAAATATCTCTATATTGCAATCTCCCTCTCTCTCTAGAAATATATGTACGGAGACTTTTCTTTCTCTCTTCTAGAGAGTGGTGGTGAGTGGTGGTTTCTGGCGGCTACCGGCCAGGTTGGTGGTTTTGTCTACGAAAGGTAGGGGGTTTTGGCGGTCGTTTTCTTAAAGCTTTTAGTTTTTTTTTTTTTTAAAGAAAGTATTTTTATTTTTTTTCTTGTCGGATTGTGATTGGTCAGTGATTGTTTGCCCTGACTAGTTTTTTGGTAAGTGGCTTACTGTACCAGACGAATGCGTTGAACTGAACAGCCAAACATGTACTGATATGTGTTTTTCTTTAATGGAGCAGTTTTTTTTTAGTAGGGCCACGCGCTTCATGTCCAGAGATTTCACGCGTCACTCAATAGGCAGTTTTTTTTTTTTTTTTGATTCCTTAATTTTTTTTTATGGTGCTACTGAAATTTAATTTATTGATTTAATTTATTGTGACTTTTACATTGATTGTAGATCCCATTAAATATTAAAACTTTGGTATTAATCCAATGATTCTAATGAAACTACATCTTTAAGTCAATAAATTATTTTAAATTTTTATGTCCAAATAATATTACTTTTTTTTTTACATTTGAGAATTGTTTTAATCAGGTACTTTGGATTCATGAATGGATAAAGCTAAGCTGAAAGCCCATCAATAATAGTAAACATTGGATTGAATTGGATCGGATACATACAAGTCAGGGGTAAAGAAGAATGGGGTAAGCTGGCTTTCAAATTCTAATTATTCTATATCCTCACTTTTTTTTTTTTTTTGTATCTGTGTGCCTTTTGTTTCAGTTTGTCCATTGAGTTTTCAGTTAAAACTTTAAATATTTAAGCAGCTTTTCATTTTTTAATTTTCACAAAAATGGAGTTTGTTTTCCATAATAAAAGTAATTTAAATTCATCGGGTATCAATTTGAGTAGCTAGCTTATTTGCCTTCATAGTTGAACTAATTTTGCACAACTAGTTATAATGTATTAAGTATATATTATGGAAGCTCAAGAGATAAACAAGCTAGCTAGGAAGTCGCTTTCTAAAAGTTTATTTTCATAATTATCCAATTCATGTAAGAAAAGATTGGAATGTCATAGATTTTCGGGGAATAAATTCAGTTTCATATATCTCCTAATTAGCCCCCGGAAAAGGGATGGGGGGGAGGGGTAGTGGGAACTTGAATAGGAAAGGGTGCACAATTCTTCGCAATTAAGCAGTAGCTGTGGAGTGATGACCTGGGGTACACAATACTTAGCAGTTAAGCAATAGCTGTGGAGTGATGACCTGTTTGGCTTTGCATTATCCTTTATTACTTAGTAACGCTACAATTTCATAGTATTTATCATCAACACTTTTGTACTAAAAGATGGTGATACTTAAGAGGAGAAGAATCTTCTTGCTTTACCTAACACTTGGTCTTCCCCAAAGTCTTGTTTTATAGCTTTTACTTTTTTCATAAAAGCTGCCTTCCAAATCAAGCTTTTAGTAAGTGATGAACATTCATTCAAGACAAGGACCAAGGACCCAATAGTTGAACTACCTAAAGCATTGGCTCCATGGTAATATCATCGTACTGATCCTGTGAAATGGGTGAAGTTTGATCCAAAACTCTAGTACCATGCGGCCAATATTCGATCGAACAAATCATTCACACTCTAGTTTTCGTCATATGCACGGATGACACATTGTTACATTTGAATTTTGATTTCACCAAGATCTTTGATGATAATGTTAGTTCAAATTTTAACTTTTAAAGTCCGGCCTAACTTTGCATTGTCTCATATATCCAATTGATTAGCATGATGAAAGAAAATTGTATAAGATATATCATACATTTATAAAAAAGCTGTAAAACGATGATGTATGGTTATTGGTTATTTATTATCTTTGAACAAAGAGGGAGGAGACCCTTTTTGGTTGATGGCCTTGAAGTAAATCTCTCTTTGTGAGTGCGTATTGAAAGTGACCCTTAACTTTGTGTGGTACGTCTGAGTTGAAAGAATGGTCTTTAGAGCCGGCCAGAAGGAGATATATTGTATTGATGTTTTGTTATTAAGCAAAGTCCAACACAGCAAAACCAATAATGGGATGCCTTTTTTTGTCATCCAAATGTCATGGTCCACCATCCAAAGGAATCTACTTTTACATCTATCCTATGTTGGAATATTGGATATTTTAATACCTGCCGTTTTTGATCGGTGAGGCAAGGGTTGCTACTGTTGTTGGACCCACCATGTCTCAATCATGATTTGTGTTGGGCTGTCAATCAGAAACCCAATTAAGTACGTGGACTTTTGGCCAATTTAGGCCCAGCCCATGGTTGTTGGATTCTCAGGCCCGTCCCTACTTACAAGCCCATGAAGATTAAAAGTTTACCCATTGCATAACACTTTGGATCATGGTAAGACCGACAAAGATAAAAAAAAGTAGACAATTTTCTATATAGTTTTGTAGAGGTTGGTAGTAACAGCCATTTTCGATTGCTCATTTCATATCTCGAAGAAAGTAGGTCTATCTTTAAGTGATTTATGATATTGCCCAACTGATTTTAAGCTTCTGTCGGATTTCGAATACGGGCAGAATTCAATCGTGGTCGATAATTCAATTGAAAAGACCATCATACTCGTTAGTTGTTAATAATACTCTCTAGCCAAAGGATACTTAAATATGGAACTTCATCCTTTATTCAAGTAGTGAGCTAATCGGCTACTTGGCCTAACATAAGAAAACCAGATTAACTAAACTTAGCACATTAGCACTCAAATAAGTAGAATCGAATCTTATGGCTATATAGTTCCCCAACTACTGCATTTAGGGAAGGCATTTCATGACCTCAACAGCCCTTAAAAAGTGCTATATGATGGTTGGGAAGATTCTATGGTCTCTCCCTCCATCTTCCTCAACAAAACGGATAGTATCAATGCAATAACAGGAGGTGTAAGACTACTATTCAATCTGAAAGGTAAAGCAGCTACAATCTGAACCAACAAACACTTGTTGGGACGTTCAATAACCAACTTATGCCAGGAAGACAATATGAATTCAAAGGAACTTGAGTTTACAGGACTTTTAACTTAACATACAACTACGTATTACAATGTTACAAATACAATACAAGTCCCAACACCGTAATGATCCCCTCAATGCAAAGGCCTAATATATGATGTAAAATAGTGTTACAATGATGTCTGCTCGTTACATGTCAGTTGATGCAACAAAAACTACGACATTGAAGGCCTGATCTACAACTTTACATACACATGTCAACAATCAGAATTCCACCATTAACAACACCACCAGAGTCATCCGTTCAGAAAGGTCAGGAGGAAGTACAATAGCAGTGGCATTGAAGCAAACATGTATAGTAACTCAAGGTTTGGCCCCACTGACCTTGACGTGATTGCCATTCTCATCCAGAATATTTGTTGCACACTGCTATTGTCCACTGGGATACTCTTGCCTTCCTATTTCACCTCTCCTTCCACTTCGTATTTCTTTTCCTCCGCAGCAGCATCCTGTTTCTCCTGTTCTCCACTGCCATCCTCTTTCCCTGTTTCAACTGGTATTTGCTCCACTTTTTCCTCTCCCATTCCCAGAACCATCAGCTACTTTCTCAATTTGGGCCTCTTTTGAATTTCCTGCTTCTGTTTCTGCATGCTTTTCACTTGCCTCAGCATCATCAAGTATTTTGACATCTTTCCGGAGCTTTGCTTCTTGGGAAGGAGCATATTCTACTTTTCATTTTGTGTCTTGAGCTTCATCTTTCCTTTCATGTTGACTCTGCTTCACAACCTCCTCCTCAGTATCCTGGGTTTCATCTTTCTTTTCATCTTGATTCTCCATCACAACATCCTTCTCAGTATCTTGGGTTTCATCTTTTTTCTCATTTTGATTTTCCTTCACATCATCCTTCTCAATATCTGCAGCTGCATTCTCCTCAGTTTTCTCAGCTTCCTGCATGTGGATTTCTTTCACCTCAATTTCTTTAGGTACAACTTCTTTCTCTTTGTCATCCTTCTTTGAAGCTGAAGATTTTATGCTTTGTTTCTTCTTTGGGGTTCACTTTCTGGTGGTGGAGTCGTCTTTGCCTTCTCACTTATCCTTGCTGATCTCCTAGGCGTATCACCTGTTCCCCAATCAAACTCCGATATTGCAGGACCACCAGGGTGTGATTTCAGGTACTGTTCCAACTGTCTTCTGTTAGTGACCTCCTCCCCTGTTGGAGCGGTGAATATGATCTCATTCTTCTTCGGGGTCCCTCTTTTCTTGGGCATGAACTGCATAGAAACACAAAAGTTCAATATTATGAAACTGAGTCCAGTGGATTGAGAAACAAGAATTAGAAGAGTATACAAATAAAGATATTGAAGTTACATAATTCCAAGACAAAAATGGGGAAAAGAGTAGGGCTCATGACTGCTAAAACAGAGTGATGAGTGGGTTTTATACCTACAAATTGAGTGTTTTCGGTTTAATGAAATTACAAGTTTTCAATTATTTTATGTTCATTTTTATTCGTTTTGTGTGTTTTGATGTTATTTTGTAGGAATGACCATTTGGGAGGAAACAAGGTCAAAATTGGAGCCTAAGTGTTGGATTTTTGAAGAGGAAGCTAAAGGATATTTTAATGAAGTATTTATAGCGTACTATTTTGTAGTAGTACCTTGGTTTTCTGCCTTTTTTACCATGATCTACTTCGAATCTGAAAAAGTGTAAAACATGAAAGTTGTAGATCAGGATGTCTTATGTATTGTGTCAAAATTTCAGCTCAATCAGACGGTTGTATCAAAAGTTACGACGATTCTACGAAAATTGGTCTGAAGCAGGCCTGCAGAGGGGGCATGCCTAGGCGCCAACATTCTGTCCATACAACGCTTTTCCAGCGCCTAGGCGCTTGTGTTAGTCCGTAACACGAATTTTACCTTATTTTTGACTCAAAGTTGGACTCTAAAGCTACATATATGCTAGGGTTTGTGTGGGGATGAAATATTCTGACTTTTAGGGGCTAAAAACATTGGAGAAAGACCAAGAAATTGGAAGAAAATTGAAGACAAGAACCGAAGAAATCAACACAAAGAAGATTGGTCTTGAAGGATGGAGAATGATTGAAGATTGCACCTAAATTTTCATTCTTTTCTCTTACTTTTACTTCTTGTTTTTATAAGATGTTGTTTAATTTTAGAATGATGTCTTTCAATTACATTATGAACTAAATTTTTATTAAGATTGCAACGAAACTTATGTCTAATTAAATTAATCTACTCAAGTTTCTAGTTCTTATTGATCTTATATGAGTTATTTGTCATATTTTGTGATTAATATATGATTGTGTGACCAACAATTAGTTTGATAACCTAGATGAATTCTAGGTTTAAATCTGAATATGATGACATGCGTCTAGTTTATTCTTCTTAGGATTGAATAGCTGGGTTTGTGTATAGGATAGGAATATACCTATACACCGTGTGTAACTTTTATGAGAGTTTGAACTTAATGAATCTATTTCAACTTATTTTGCATAGGAATATAGTAATTTAATTGGGATAGATAATTTTATCTAACTATCGGAAAAGGTTTGATAAATAACTTTGAATTCTCAGTTAACAACTTATTTTGATCAATTAACTAGAAAGAGAGTTAGAGGGACTTATACGAAACATTAGGGGAAGTTATAATCTTAACTTCTTTTCTCTAGTAAATTCAATCCTTGATTGTTAAGTTTAAATTTAGTTTTAATTAGTAATTACATAGCTCAATTTCAATTGTTTAAATAAAATTGAATTGATATAAAGTTAGTACTTGGAATTTATTACTAATAATTCTCCGCGGGAACGATACTCTATTTATCATTTTATTACTTGTTGATCGTGTACACTTGCACGTAAATTATCAATACCAAATTCAGACAACACGGAGGAAATGAAAGATCTAATCTGGAAAAAGTTTACAAGTGAACTAAGTTTTTTAAAAAAAAAATACGTCATGCTGAAAAAAGAACATAGAAATCAAGGAACACAGATAATCTTGCATACTAGACACATATTTTGGAGCCAGCATGATTCACTTGAGATCAACCAATAGCGTAGTTATGTACTCTATATGAAGGCCAATGAGGATTGTGGATTAACTGGTAGAATTGTGTCATGTATACAGATCATTTTCTTCTCTATTTAACCATGATGTCACTCTAAACTCGTGCCCACCAATGTGTAAAGATCAGTGGTGAGTTTAGAGGAATAAATGGAACAGGAATAAAATTACTGCAGAACCCAAACAACACAAAATATGTGGAAGATAGAGCATCTCCATGGTGATCAGATCATTGTCAAACTTCAAATTTTTATATTCAACTCAAGAAAGCTTTTTTCCTACTATTTGGCTGATTCGTTTTAGGCTAGGTTCCAGCTATCTTATGCCTTCGCCCTCCTTTATCCAGGCTTAGAACCAGTGATGTAGTCAAGAAGCATGAGAATGGTGATGAACTGTTGCAATGAGCTTTTTATTAAGGTGGCGGAGTTTCAAGGAAACACAAGTTTCTTAGTCAAGGTGTGGTTCCAAGAAAAAAACACCTACTATTAGTTAGTCATATTTATGTATATTTCTTAGTAGTATTTGTTGTGATCGTGCAGCAATTATGGTGAATAGTAAGGAATCAAACAATTAAGAAAGCAGGAGAAAATAACACACAGAGATTTACGTGATTCGGCAATGTGCCTACATCCACGAGAGCGAGCGGCCGTTCTTTTCCATTATTGAAGTAGGGTTACATGTTAAGTATTTATATAACCCTAATATGAACGTATTTACAAAAATATCCCTGTACCGTACCGCGGGGGCATTGCCTCCGCACCCCCAACTAATCAGCGTCCTCTTTATATAAATCCCGCAAGGCAGATGCCGTCGCAGGCTCCGCCCGCTCCGGCATCTGCCTCCTTGTCATTATGCACACAGCAAATATGAGTCACACATACTCTAACAGTATTTATACTCATAATTGAAATGAGGGGGAGAGCTTTTTGGCTGCTGAAAAATTTTGGTTGCGAGAATGCTTTGAGCCTTCATTTGAGAGTTAAGTGATTCCTCTCTTGAAGGTGAGTGAGTCCGTCTCCTTGGTGAGTGATTTCCCAACTATTCTGCTTTGGGTAAGTGATATTGTTAGAGTATGTGTGACTCATATTTACTGTGTGCACAATGGTAAGGAAGTAGATGCCAGAGCGGACGGAGTGTAGCGGAGTGAAGCGAAGCGGAATAATGGAACTCCACTTTGAATAATGGAAAAGAACGGCCGCTCGCTCCTGTGGATGTAGACATATTGCCGAACCACGTAAATCTTTGTCTTATTTTTTCTTACTTTCTTAATTGATTGATTCCTTATTATTCACCACGATCACAACAGATACCCATCTATCCTTCCTTATTTTAATATTTTATATGTATTCTTCAACCTCTTGATACAGTTCAATGTTTTGTACTTCCATCTTTCTATTGTGGTTTGTGTCGACCAGCTGAGCAAAAAATAGGGCACTAAACATGACACAGGCGGAACGTGAGAAAAAATGCAGCAAAACATAAGAAGATGCACAAAGTACGGATGATAGACCATCTGCATGGATACCAGGGACATCCAGAATCATTACTGATGCATTCATTTATCCAAAAGTAATTTGGATACCAGGGACATCTAGAATCATCTCATTGTGCTATGCATTTGAATTGTATGTTCATTTCATTTCCATGCAATTCGACATCTTTTTCTTCTCCCATAAAACCAGGGAGCTTAAGCTCCTACATAAACTCAATAAGCAATGTGAACATGTAAATCTGCAAATTCATCCCAAAGTATACTATACACTTCAAATACTTGTACTCCTAGTAAATATTTGAGAAGATGAGAATTTCATACAAGAAGAAAAAAATTTGAAGAAATTTTCGCACCATGTGTAGATCCTCTGACCACAAAATTTATTTCGTGTTCTGTATATCTTTAACCCTCTTTGAATAACACCTCCTATCTGGAACAATGCCATTTCAGTAAAAGTGCACCAACACTGGGCCAATTTTTTTTATAATTCTGACATTCTCTACAATGTTTTCTGCAAGTTCTTGTTGAAAGCATATTCTATGAGTATGAAATGAAATTCAAGAAATACTGTGATATTCAATTAGAAGCATAATGTTGGTGGCCTTTTTCTTCTTCATTCCTTTTTAGGGATATACACAATATGTAACTTCCGCTTTCAATTATATTTCTCCTTTTCCAGCTTCAAATAAGTCAGGCTAATCTTTTCACGTAATCCAACACTCGACAGAGCTTTATTTGGTTACTTATTATTGTTGCACATTTTGCAGACCTATTATAAATTTGTTAATTGGGTAAGGTGAACAACTGAAACCTTTATTCTGGAAATTACACGCATCGAGATGCAAGGAATCAAAAGAAACAAAAGTGCCATAGTTGAGAGAGGAATTGATGCAGGCTTCTAAAGGTTAAATTAGCACTTAATTTTCTTGTGCCATGTTGATAAGCTTGTATGATGTGATTTGACATTAGATTTAAACTCGTGCTTCTATCAATCTTCCCTTGGAAGAATTATAGAAGATAAGAATTGGGAACAATTGACTAAATTTTGTGAGTGAATGTACTGTAAGATTTGTTTAAGATGATTATGCTGTTACATTTACTTTTCATCCCAGCAATTGTTGCATTAGCTTGCTTTTGGAACTCTATTTTCTGCTTATTGGTGTTAAACCGCTAATCTTTCTGGCTTCAAATTCGTATCACATATTTCCATGCATGGTCTGTAAAACACTTCAATGTAAAACCCTCTCAGATAATCCTTGTAGATCTCAGATGGCACAATTAATTTGTGTCAGAAAAATTTGCCGCTCTTCTAGCTTGTAGAAGTCAATAAATTAGGGGATATTGATGTGTCTATTCTTTGCTTGAGTTAGGTAAATCATATTAACATCATGCCTCACAGGAAAATTCATAGGGGTTACATGCATACTGGTAATTTTGTGTGCGCATTTTTTAGCACATTTCAATCTTTGGTTTACAACCTGTATGATGGCCGCCTTCCTGTCATCCAGAATGCTTACAAGTGATGAAAAAAAGTCATCTGCACGAACCCCTAAGAAGTCGTTTTCTTCAGCTAGATGAATGGTGTGCCAATTATACCAATAAAAGGTGAAATTATGCATAATGTAGTCATGGATGAAAAGATGCATCACATCGATTGATGTCTTGGAAGCTATTCAGCGTTCCTAAATGTATTCAAGGTTATACTTATCCCAAAATAAAAATAAAAAATAAAGAAAAAGAAAAGAAGAAAAGCATGCCTTCAAAGCTATACTTTCTTTGTTTGCTTACCTTTCTGCTATAAATTGTGCACACCACTAAAAGGACTGTTAGAAAAAGCAATATGAATAAACCCATCTTATTCGAGAAAGTTTCACATATTTGTAGATTGTTGAAGCAAGGGAGACACTTTTGCAGAAGTTGCTAAACAAGAAGAACGCAGTGATGAAAGCCTCTGAGAACTCTGAGGCTGTTAATACGTTTCCAGATGGTGGTATAATTAATAGCACACAAGAAGATGAGTGCCCATCTCAGCAAAAGGATGTTTTAGCTGAGGTTGTCAATGCGTTACAGGAGACAGAGATTGATGACCATGGGAAAACTGAGCAGTGGTCAGAAGAGGAAGATGTTGAACTTGCCCATCGCTAGATGCTTTGAAACTGCCTGCAAAAGAGGATGATGTCTCATTTAGTGATTTGGAAGACGATGATAACGAATTTTCAGGAAAACTCTCAAGTTTTAGGCCTGCACAGAGTAATAAGGTTTCTTCACCTAGTGAATGGGTTCAACTCAGGGAAGCTCAAGGTGGTTTGCAGAAGGCTGGTCAATCAAGTTCCCAAGAGAGATTCTGAAGGAGAGGAGTCAAATGATTGGCTAACTGTCGATAATGTAGATTCGGACAGTTAGGCTACTGTTTGAATCGCGGTACCTGTAAAGCTACTGCTATTTGTTTTTTTCCCCATAATCTTTTTTAATATTATGGTTCTGTGCAGTGTGCTTTCTTTAGTAGTCAATCGAGATGAATTCACATTATAAATCACCTAATGTCACTCTAGATTTGGTGGTGGTTCGGCTGTGCTCTCTTGCTTTTGTGTGTATTTTAGAGCTGTCAAAACGAACTTTGATTGTTCCAAGTGGTAAGTGCTGTTTTTCCCACTGCCCCTCCCCCCTCCATGGGGGCAACACACTGATAGTTAGTTGCCATGTTGGCCAGAGATTGAGAAAATGGGCAATTCCCATAACCTTGTGCCCATTGATAATGTTGGGCTCATCAGACTAGAAGCAATCTAAGTAACAAAGATGATAGGTGGATACCATTTCTACTCCAATATGCAATTAAATTCATTGATTTTTGACATGATCTGTCAACATTAAATACTGCATGAGTTATGTTATTATCCAATACAAATACTTCAATTTTGACACGATACACGATGAGATATACTTGCATATTCAATTCAATTTCCATTTCAGAGAGAAAATCTGGGCTATTAAATTCTTGTCCCAGACCAACACTCCAAAAACTGTTAACTGTATGGAGACATCACAGACGACAAAACCTACTCTCCTACTCTGTCCCCAACCAATATAGAGCCAGCCATCCAGTATGGTTTTAATTGGAATTGGATTATAATCAACTTGGTTTTTTTTAATAAATATTGCTATTGTCCGGGAATTGAGAAGGATCAACAAATTTAGTTATCCACGGATAAATTTTGCCGAAACATTTATAGCATATCTAACCAAACAATGGGCCAAAATATTACCAAATCTGCAAATCCATGAAGTATCAAGACAGAAAAACTCCCAACTAAATTCCATTCTCCTTTCTCTTAAAGAGTGTAGAAAGCTAAAATCTCTAGTTGTAAATTTGAAAGTGAGAGTATAAAGAAAAGGTAACCTCAAAATTTGAACAGCAACAATATAGGCAAAACAGACACTGCATGTGGAATAAATATTTCATTAGTCTAGCTGCAAAATGAAATGATCTCAGAAATTGGAGTCCATCACTTATAGGTGTAATGGAAACTTGATCAAAAGGTAAAGGCCACATCCTTATCATCTTGTAACTCAAAAACAAGGGTTGAAAAAAACTATAGAGAAATCAGTACACAATCACATAAAAGGACAACTTTATTTTCCTTCAAGACACCAAGTTCAATAAAAAACAACAAGCCTCGCACAATAATACAAGCAACATACAGTATAGGAATACATGCAAACATGCACAACAAGCAAACTGTCTTTGATACTTTTTCGCTTGGTCATGAGCTTCCATAGTTGTAAGGGTCCCAATATTTTGATTTTTGCAACCAACACTGGAGATTTAGAAGCCTATATGATGTCAAGCGCAACTCGTCCCAACTCGAACCATTTCCATGAAACTGTTACCTCTTTATTGACCTTGCCGATATGAGGTGCTGCGAGGAATGCATTAGTCACAGACATAACTTTTCACATTGATTATTTGCATGGTAACAACTCATATACATTCATATTGAAATTGTGTGCCCAACCTTTGGACATTTATTAAGCTATATTGTAATTTATTTTTTTCAAAGTGAAATTATTTAGTTATCGAGAAAAAACATTGGGCATGGCTTCACAAGCTTAGTACTTAGTAGCCTATTGAAACATTTTCTTTATCCAACAGGCCTTTTGAACTAAATAATTCTTTCGAGGTTTTGATTTCAAAATTGTGATTCACTCATTTAGGAAACCAGAAAAACCCTCTTTTTTTGGAACCTAGGATAATTTTAGAATCTCAAAGGGAAAAAAATATATGATATGTCAAAACAAATAAATATTCCCAATACATACCTCAGACAGTGCAGTTTGTGTTGGCTAGTTTCTTCTACCTTTGTGTCTATGAGCATGCTTCTTTGTCCTCCTCCCATTTTTGTTTCCTCAACTTTCAATGAGCCTTACAATCCACTTAGGCCTTCCAATTGAGAACATAATATATCCCATAGAAAGCCCAAGTACCAATCCACATCCATACCCCATGAATGTCACTTTCCACACGAATCCACTAGGAGACTCTGAAGAATCATCTTGTTGCAATACCCATTGTGGTGGTGCTCCAGAGTGGCCGCATGATTTCGACAATGGCAATCCACATAGTCCAGAGTTGCCCTCATATGAGTTCTCTATGAATGAATCGAATTGTTTGCCTTGAGGTATGGGCCCTGTTAGTTGGTTGTGCGAAAGGTTTATGACTTGTAGAAACATCAAACTTGTTAACTCCTGAGGTATCTCTCCAACAAGCTTGTTTGAAGAGAGGTCTAACCATTCAAGCATTTTCATCTGCCCAAGTGATGTCGGAATCTGACCCGTAAGCTTGTTATGAGATAAGTTGAGGCCACAAACTGAATTTAGCATTCCTATCAACTTGGGAATATCTCCTTCAAAGTTGTTCTTCGATAAATCAATTGTTGTGAAGGTATTAAGGACTTTCTCCATTTGAATTCTCAATCCTTTGAGTGTTACAGTAATTGAATCAAAATAATATCTACTATAATAACTATTCATGTATTCTAGGCGGAATGTGGTTTCATCAATGTTCCTCATAGCTTTGAAGTTTTTGAAATATTTTGTTGGCAGAGACCCAGTGAAATCGTTGTACGAAATGTCAAAAACTCTCAAGTTATGGAAGGGAATTGGGTCATGAAAGTAGTTATAGGCCCGTAGAATCGGTTAGATTGTAAAATAAGAACGTGCAGATATGAAAGACTTTCTAACCAATATGGAAATGTATCCTTTATCTTGTTGTTTCCGAGATCAAGAACTTGTAGCGATCTGCACTTTACTAAAGAATCTGGTACTGGCCCTCTCAATGCATTGTTGTTCAAATTTACAGTTTCCAAGCTACAGTTCTTTGTAAATGTGTTAGGAATGTTCCCATAAAAGTTGTTCTTCTGGAGATCAAGCACCAAGAGACTCCTGCTTAACTTTCTCAAGCAATGCTTTGTAACACCACTTAAGTTGTTACGAGACAAAATGAGAATTCCAAGAGAATTTGCATTGCAAGAGACTATGCCACTCAAGTTATTTGATGAAAGATCGAGATAAGTAAGGTTCACAAGTTGGAAGATTGAACTTGGAATGTTACCATACAGCTTGTTAGAACCCAAATCAAGGTAGCGCAATGAATTGAATTGGACTTCGTTAATGGGGCCAGTCAATTTGTTATAACTGAGGTCTAAAGATTCCAGTGCTGGTAGGTTAAACATCCAAGATGGGATTGCCCCACTGATAAAGTTATAATCTAGGCTGAGCTCCCTTAAATGTGAAAGCCCATTTACTTGTGAAGGTAGAGTTCCAGATAGTTGATTATATGACAAGCTTAGAACAACGAGTTGTTGTAGTGTTGCGTTGGCAAATAATGATGAGATCTGCCCACTGAAGTTATTCGTTCCGAGATCTAAATATCTAAGATTTTTCATAGTAGGAAAAACACTTGCGATTGGGCCTTCGAAATGGTTGTCCGAAAGATATAAAACAATGAGCTGCTCAAGGTTTGAAAGCGAAGGTGGAACCTTACCGATGAAATTGTTTCTATCAAGGAACAACGAACTGATTTGTGTCAAGTTCCCAAGTGATGGTGGAATTTGTCCTGACAATCCGCAACTGCCGATACTCAAAACATTTAAGAACTTCAGGTTTCCAATTGAGTCGGGTAATTCTCCAGAGAAATTTATGTGGTAAAGACTTAAGGACTGAAGGGGACTGCTCGAGTTAAATTCTGGAAAATGACCGGTGAGAGCCTTATTAAAACCTATATCTAACTTCTTCAAATTTGGCAGTTGAAATAGCTGATCAGGAACTTCTCCCAGGAATTCACAAGAGACAAGGCTGAGAAATGTTAAAGAAGTTAGATTTAACAAGGAACGTGGTATCACCGAAGAGATGTTTACTTCATCAAGATTAAGCTCTCTCAGTTGGGTCAAGTTTTGAACAAGCAATTCAAAACCAGCTTTCTCCAATCTCAATTGACTATTCGATGACAAATCAAGTGAAACCAGATTAGATAGTTCCGAAATTTCTAATGGGATTTGGCCTGAGAATCCAGAGGAAGAGAGGTTCAAATTTGTCAATTTGGAAAACCGATCAAATGAATTAGATGGAAATGGAGAGGAAACAAAGTCGTTGTAAGCAAGGTTGAGCCTTTGAATATAAGGAGGGAGAAAGAGGGTGCTGTTGGGATGGATGGTGCCATATAGGCAGCTGCAGCTGAGGTCAAGGCCGATTACATTACCGGTCCTCCAATCACACTCCACCCCATCCCACGAGCAACAATCAGTACCGTTCTTCCAAGATTTGAGCTTTGGATAAGAAGGAATTATGTTGCGAAATTCACATACCTGTGAAGCAGATTCATCGAAGGAAAATTGTTTCTTAAACTGGAGCAATGCAAAACTCTGGTCTTGAGGGCAAAGTTGTGCACGGGAAGGAGTTAGTTGGACGAATGAGAGAATGAAGAAGAAGAGTTGACTGAGATTGAACCATATTGAACAACCCATCTACTAAATTTATCAGAGAGACAATAAGACAGACTATATCAACCGAAACAAAGGCAAATGTCATACAAATAGGAAAACTATGCAGGACCACATTTCTTCTTCTCTGTGGCTGAATTACACTAGCACAAAATGTCTTGGTTGCTAATAAAGTCTTCGTGGAGTTGTCAAGGAACGACCACGATACTGCTCCCATTACAATTTCGCAGGTGTTAGTCAGGAGTGGCTCAAAATAATTTGAGGCCTAAAACGCTAATTTATTTTAAGGCCTTTTTTATTTTTAATATTAAAATTTGTGATTAAAATTAATTCTTCTCATTTTTTGAGTCGTAAAAATATAAATTGAGTTTTTATATTTAAATTTTGTTTTCATTGATAATATCTCTAATCTAATTATTTTTTCTTGTGACAATCAATTTTAAATAAGATTTTATTAATTTTAATTTTGAAAAGTTTCTTTTTTATAGAAGTACTATACAAAAGTTAATAATAATATTTTATAAGTAATGCATACATTTGAAGAAGAAAATCTAAACTTTTTTTATAATTTAGTGTCTCAATTGGAGTATTTTTATTCATTTATAAAATCTTCTTTAAAATAAATCTAAACTATCAATGTCAGAAAATTGTTATGTTTTAAGAAATATCCGAGATCAAGATAAAAAAATTTTAACTATCAGCATTTAATGATTTTATTTTTTAAATTAAATAAAAAATCAAAAAAAATTCTTTATTTAAAATTGATATGAAGAGAGAGTGAGTCAAAATGAAAATGAGATTTATATGTACAAGTGTTTTCTATTTTGTTTAATATTTTTTATTTAATTGCTCAACTTACTCATGCATATTTATTTTAATTATGAGTCGTGTTTCTTGATATAAATTATGTTTATACAAGACGATGTTGTTCAAGGTTATGTCTTTAGAGAAAAGTTTATCATTTAAAAATAAATAATTTGACAGTAATTGACAATTTTTTTTTATTCTATATCAGAACTAGTAGAAAAATGCAGGAACACAATTTCCAGTCAATGGCAAAATCAAACTAGCTGGCACCAAAAATCTTATTGGTTGCTAAAAGTCTTTGCTTGCTAAAGTCTTTGTAAAATTGTTATCAATCCCACCGACGGGTTAGGGTGGAATTGACAATGGAGAATGTGATGGTTGTAAAAAATATTCATAATCAATCTTTCAATATCATTTGAGTAAACTGCTAAATGTGAATAAATCTATCCATCTATATACATTTATCATTCATATTATCCGAAAATGATTTGAGAAATTTTTTGTATCTCACTACTTACGATCAAATTTTTATTTAATACATTAAAATTAATTTTCTCCGGCTAAACTCTCTCACGTTGCCATATAACAACTTCCAACAAACCACTCCTCTTATCTTTAACAAGAAAAATATTATTTGAATTTAATTTGAGTAATTATTAAGTCTCTAAATTTCGATATATAATAACAATACATTACTCTTTGATGTCTTAGTTTTGTCATCCCCACCAAGCTCAGAAAGATATGTTTGACGGGTTATGGAGGAACTGACCGACAAAACATAATGTTATGGTCGAGAAAGAATCTACACAGACAGGACGACAATTGACAAGGAAGACTTGTTACTACAAACAAATTACTTGCACAAAAAGTCTTGGTCATTAAAGACTATCCCTGTA